AGAAGAAGAAGAAGAAGAAGAAGAAGAAGAAGAAGAAGAAGAAGAAGATTGATGTATGTATCTTTGATCTCGCCACACTTGCAAACTATTGCGTTGTTTTCTGGAAATCTTCGGAAGTTCAGTCATAATAGCCTCTTTGAAGAAGAAGGGGCTAACAAAAGATGGAGTTGCGTCTCAAGAGTGTAGCCAAGCTATAACGACGCAAGCTAGGAAACCAAGTAAGAAGTCATCGAATTGACAGAGGCGAGAAGATTTCGTCCGTTGACTGAATAGAAACAGTTTCATGGAACGTGATGTTGCAGAAACAAAGACGGTGTGGGTGTCTTTGTCAGCACGCACACGCTATTTCTATCAAATAGATTCGTGTGGAAGCTTGACAGTTCGAATCGAACGTTGCGATCAAGAAGATGGGGCCGCGTTCTGCGATTCCCGAAATGAGGCTTTTTACTCGCTCTTCTAGAGCCAATTTGGAGGTTGAATTCACCATGTCCATCAAGAAAGTTCTCCCCATCTAGTTTTCAAGGTTCATACATGTAGAATGCTACCAGATTCTCATTTTCACAGCTTGATATTGGTGCGTAGACAACGAAGATTGTTAGAGCCGCGATAGGGGAGAAATTCCGTTACCCCTACCTACCTGCCGACCCCCCATCTCAGGCGGGTTCGATGTGTCATTACTTCATTGCATGCTAACACTTCGATGGAGGACTGCATTACATTCGGTTCCAATAGGATCGAGATATCATAGAACATCTGAGAGCCTCACACCAGTCATCAAAGCCCTGGCTAGAATTCACGCGGTACATGTCGAAATGTAAGTTGATGTATAAGAAGGCAGATTCAGACGATAACGGCAACTATGGCTAAATTTGCCTGCTGTCTCTTATACATAAATTTATCGCAAGAATTATCCCTATTAGGATTGGTAGAATACTCTATGAGGACAGCCATGCCTTTGGTAGAAGCTCCAGTGCAATCGATCGCACTCGCACAAATATTCCAGTGTTCAGAACTGTGCATTTTTCTCGAAAGCGTACACCATTTAGAATGAAAAGTGGGAGTGAAACTTGGCAGCCGCTATTTGCATCATCCCTACTCCGAGAAAGTACCATGCTTACAACAGATAATACTGCAGCAGCCGAAACGAATAATGGCTTGATGGTTAAATACTTGTGGAAAGATCGGCTTGAGAGTGAATCTAACGGAGTAGGAGTTCAAGGGAATTGGTTCATGATGCTCCTTTCACACTCACTGGTGCATCTTTGAACCTCCGCGAAGCTGAGCGGAAGGAAACGCGCGGCTTGGGGGCAGTAAGGAATACCGAGGGAGCAGTGAAGGAGACGAAGAACATCCGTCCCGCTGACTTCTTCGACATAACGTCGCTCTTGCCTCGACATATGTCTCAGACACTTAGTTTCTACGCAAGCAAGATTAGATGTCTGCGTCAACCAATGCGCTATGAAGGAAAGACAACATTTCAGGTGCAGAGGGTATACCAAAATTCCAAATCCCGTTAGCGAACCAAGACCAGATTGGGATGCTGATTGCTCAAAGAAATTGAAAAGCAGGTAGACCGGACACCTTATAAAAATTTGTAATGACCGTTCAGCCTGAGCGACAAGAGAATGGAGTATTGACTGGAGTATTAAAGGCACAGTTCACGATAAAAATGGTTTCTGAGTTTCTCCCCTAGGAATACCCAGTGGCCCTAAGGGCAACAGGAAGGACGCTGTCGGAGCCTAAATTCAACGGGTATGGCATAGTGGGAGCCCCGCTACCTGATCGCCCGGACTTCCTGCCCTCGATCGATGTCACGTAGACAAGTGTCGAAACGAGACAGATTGCAATATTCGCTCTAGGACACAAACAATCAGCTGATCGCCGAGTAATGGGACAATGTTTTTCTGCTATTCCTTCATTCTCCGTTATTCTTTCGCTGCCGCAATCTCTTATTTAATTTTCTTTCACGAGAAGCTCACACCAGAAGCTATTCGCATCAGGAACTAAAAAGCTAAGCTATTTCTGCTGTTACTAGGTTTTTTTTGTTAACTTATGCTTATGAGTGAATGTATTTCTGCTTACTGTAGTCAGCTATTCGCACCAGGACCCACACGTACGCAATGTCACACATTGTACAGCCCGTACAAACCCCATTCTTAATCATTTCCCTGTTCTCGTTCCCGCAGTTTCATCGTACTATTTCCTATCTTATCTTTCACTTTTCGTCATAATTTGGTTTACCCTAAATTATCGTGAACTCTGCCTCCAAAAGAACACCAGCGCAGTCGCCAACGCGAAGGTTAGACGTTTTCGCAGCAGCTGTGAACGAAAGAAGTCGCATATCTTGTGTACCTCGAGCAAGGATAAATTTAATCACATCGGCTCACAACAGGGACGAAAGAAGAGTTTAATAGCGCCGCTCAAATCGATGTTTAATGGGTCGATAGACGGTGAAAGCCAACCCCATTTTAGTCGGCTACTATATAACTTCCCGAAACCGCGGAAACACGATCACTCGTCTAAATGACATGATGTTTATGCATTTGGGCAAACTAACAATTAAGCACGTCAGGTCAACCAAAAGATTTATCAGGAGCGCCCACTTCTCTGCCTAGCTACGCCCCCAAAGAGGGTTATATAGGGTTACGCAAAGCGCCAGGAAACTAAACTGTCAAAAGCTAAGGCAATCTTGTCCATATCATGCTTTTCTCGCTCAGGACTGAAGGCACATTTTACGATAAAAATGGTTTCTGGAATCTCTCTCTCTGAGATGAATCTGTGACCTAAAAAAATAATACAAGAGACGCTGCCGGGTCGAATAACTGCCTGAATAGAGCTGATGAGCACCTTAAAACCGGCTCAGCCGACATACACCCTCAAGGCGGACGAGTTCTCATGGCATAGTGGAGACTGAAAAGGTCCATCATTCACACCGAGATGTTATACGCAGACAGCTTACTGTAGCCTACGCAGAGACATACACTTAGACAGCTCGTTCGAACACCCCTTCGATGCGAACTTTTCGTTTCATTCCCGTCAAATCCCTAGCCACTTTTTTGGAGTCTTATTTTTTAAATACGGATATACATATTTTGGACTTTCATTTCCATTACTCATCTTAACGGAGAGACTATAGATACCCCGAAATTTCGTGAACTCTACATTTGAATGGGCATTTGTACTGCATTTAGTACATACATTTGAATGGGCGAGCCATTCTAAGAAGCTCAACTCTTCCTCTAATTCTAATTCTGTTCCATTTAGTCAAGAGGCAAAATTTGCTTTGGAATGCTTTTACTCACGTCCTACAAACTTACGACTCATACGTAGGCGTAGCTTTCGCCTCGTTGCAAGGAGCCTACCGAAAGCATGACGTAATTAGCCTACGTAAATTCCACACACGCCCCCTCTTCACAAAGCCATTAATATCAAGATTCAGAGTCTGTTTTCCGACGTGTCTACTTTGCACGTGACTAAAAGTTTAACTTACGTAGTGACTCCTTGAGCATCCTTCATGCAGTGACCACGCCAGATTCCTCGACTATGAATATCCGGAGTAGCTTTCCCCTGAGCCAGGCACATGGCAGAATAGACGTCATAGCAGTACCAACAATAGCGATACTGCTTTGTGGGTTGGAAAGCCTAGAAGATAACCGTCTGGCCAAAATGTAGCAGAACTCAAAAGACGGCAACTGTAAGGAATTACTTGGAAAATACCTATATTGCTTATTGACAGGCGCGTAAGGAACTACAAAGTGAATCGCTATTTCATTAGGGATATCACAACGGTGCATATCCAGAACGCACTGGGACAACTACTACATTTCTCCGAGAGGCAAGTTCCTAGTCCACAAGGCAAGCCGATAACTATAACCCCTAAACTGCAAATTGTAAACCTACTCATCGCATTCAACTAGGCAAGCCCGCCTTCATTTACCATAAGGAATGATAAAAAATCTTTCTCAAGCGCTCAAAGATGAGAAATGGGATGAGAAAACATATAGGAAAGCCTAGATTTAACAAGATTGCAAGAAGCACCTGTTGTGGTGATCTCAATCCTGAGGCAAATGCAGTTGGAGTTTCTTGATTAGGTGAAGAACTCTGAAAAAACCAAACAGAGATATGCGCGAAAATACTGATCTAGTTAAAAGCACATCAAACAATCTTACTGACAGTATCGCTTCGAAGATCGACTTCACATGCGTGATCCGAACCACTGAAGAAATCTGATGTGGTTGACTCCGCGCCCTGAAAGAATTTTCAGAGCTAATCTCTGGGCGGACTTCTCATAAAAGTATGCTCGAACCTGTGAGCATTGCTCAGTTTCGTCATAATGCGATGAGCTGCCAGAATCGCTGCTGTCCCAATTACTAATTGATCGCTTTCCACGATACTGCAGTAATTGTTTCACTGGTTTATTTGTGCTAGGATTACGAAGAGTCGCCAGCACATCATCGGGAGAGTTCTGAACACGCTCTTTAAAATATTTAATCGTTCCAAGGTCACAGTTCTCTAACGAAATCATGTGAGATTCAGCGATTAGTTCAGTGGAGGTGCGAATTCAGAGCACACAAATGGCATCTTTTTCTACTGGGGAATGACATCTGGTGGGTGGTAGTGTATTAAACTCAGGCCCCCTGAATCTCTTTTCAGTGTTAAGGAACAATGAGCTTATGTTTCCAGACGCCGAGCTCGATCCTAATTGGCAAAAATAGAAAGAAACTTTTACACGTTAAAAATGTAGTTTGGTGTAGAGCATCCGCCCTCTTAAGCACCGGGCACTAGACGCACAGAAAAGGAGTAGTAGCTGGGTTTGCGGGCTTTTGATAATGATACTGTTGGGCCAAAAAACCGTCGAGATAGGGCGTGATAAGGGTCTCAGAAACAGCTCAGTTGTCGTGCACAACCAAGGCGGACGAGTTGTTAAGCGTTTTAAAAGCTGTACAGCTTACACCGTTCCCACCGGAACCCACAACTTTCAATTTATCTCGCGTAAAAAGCTAGGCTGGCAGATTTGAACACTCAGATGGCCGCTAGTTCATTTCTTTTCAAAAGCGTGAGTGGTAGAGGTTAGCATTACTTTCCCGTTTGGAGAGCATTATTAGGGAGAGGCACAGCATAAAATACTTTATGGAATCTAGTTTTAGACGAGTAACGGAAGTGATTGTCTAAAATAGTGCAAAGGTGGCGGAGAAAACGCGAAAACTGATGTACTAAGAGGAATATAAGGCTTCAAAAAAAAAAGAAGTAAAGTCAGGGGTTGAACGAAAATGTTGCGGAGAAAGCTCTATAGAAGGGATATTTGGACGAGTTGTTCGAACGCGCGTGCCAACGCATACAGCTGACTGCAGTACGCTGCGTGGATGCATGTCGCTTGACGCGGCCCCTCCCATCGCGCCGCCCATTCGCCGCGCCTTGGAGTTGGACAACTGACCAGGTGATTCAACCTCCTGATCTGTACCACCTGTTGAAGGTCGATTTTCTCGAGCGGGCGCCTAACGTCTACATTAGCCCCTGTCACGAGCAGAGTTGTCCGACGGGGCAAAGCACTTCTTTCGTTCAGAGCTTTCGTGAAGAAGTCTGACCATCGGGTCAGCGGCCGTCCTGGTGTTCGCTTGACGTCCCGAGGGATCCAGTCCGTAACCGCCCTGGTCCAACGGTCATCATATCGCATAACGTGTCCGGCCCACCTGATCTTCGATCTCTTGGCGTAATCAACGGCATCCCTGATCTTCGTTCGTCGACGGAGCTCGGAACTCCGGATTCCCTTCTGCACTTGCGTGTATAGAAAAATTCCGGGCATCGTCCTTTCCACGGCGCGTTGAATGATGTTCATACTGCTTTCGTCGAGTCCAAGTCTCTGAGACGTAGGTCAAAGCAAGAAGGACAGAATTGTCGGAAAGGTGAACGCGGAGCCGGATGTTCTTCGTCTTCTTACCTACTCCCTCGATATTGTTGACCGCTACCTACCCGGCGCGTTTCCCTCGGCACAGTTCCGGAGCTGTCCCATACACAGCTGGAGCATTCAGAGATATTCCTTCCGTTCAGCGTAAAAGGAGCATCAGGAACCACACCGTTTCCATGAACGTTCCTCGTTAGGTTCAACTGTAAGCCGATCTTTCCACAGGCGCCGTCAAACTCGGCCAGCATTCGTTCCGCGTGCTCGATTTTTGGTATTATAAACACGATGTTGTCTACAAAGCGGAGATGGCGTAAGCAGCGTCCGCCGCTTCGATGCTTGTAGATGACAGACAGCACTCAGATTAAACGATAGTTGCCGATAGGTTCTCTCCTTGTATAGCAGCAGTCTTGCTAGTTTCCCACGACGCGGGTACTTTGCATTCCGACGGTACCGGGGTGAGGAGCCTAGCCAGAGCTTCGACGATAAGGGGTGGAAGATGTTTCGGATGATCCTATCGGGACCGGCCGCCGTACAATTCTTCATCGACGTGATGGCATGTCGAATTTCGGAAGGGAGAACATATGGAGCGATATATTCGTCTTGCCTAAGATCTTGAGTAGGCAGGTAGACGTGGCTGTCAAAGAGATCCGAGAAGTCGTTATTGACCTTCGCCTTTGCCCTTCGAGTTGCAGTAACTGTTCCGTCAGGACGACAAGGGAAGTCATCTTAGTCTTGTTATTGGCGAAGCTCCGTCGAATGCTCTTTCCGGCCTTGGCGGCTTCTCCATAACTGCGCTCTCCTCTCTTTCAGATCTTCTTTTATCGCTTCTCTGCATAGCTTCGCAAGTTCGGACGTTTGTTGATGATTGCATGCAGCTCGTGCGATTCCACGCTGTCTTCTCAGCTCAATATCTTCGAAGAGATTCGTCGAAGCGAAGTGGTCCCAGCTGATGGAGGTTTATGGCTCCGCTTCCTGAACTTCATAGTCTCTCCGTGTAGTACTTTGGAATAACAGCGACATCAGTCAGGCAAAACCCCCGTTTGAAGACGATGTCGTTTATTTCGTTATGGAATTGACCACCAGGTGACTCCCATGTCCATCGCAAATGAGAGGGATAGGCTATCCTTGGAGGTCATAGGTTCATTTTAGAGAAAAATCTCAAAAACCATTTTCTAAAGTGAACTGAGCCGCCAAAATTGTTAAAGCCCTGCAAACTCGGCTACCTCTCCTTTTCTGCCCTATAGCGCCTACTGCTGAAGAATAGGGAATCTGGCAGAGCGCACGCAAGGGTGCACACGGGTGTGCGCGCACCCTCTCTCTATCGTCAAGAGAGTAAAACATTTATTCATTTGTTGAAACAGCTAATTGTCGTGTAAGTAATCCCCAGCGTCTGGCCCCCAGTTTGACTTCGAAAATTCCTCTTACCATACTTTGTAGCTATAAATGGATCGATATACATGCCGAATGGAATCTTACTTGAAATCTAGTCTGAGAATTGTAAGTACCGAGCAATTTGACGAAGTCTTAGCGTTTCACCTAACCGTGGAACTGTCCATTTTGACCGTCCATTTTGAAGGTGTGGTTTAGGGTGGACATCCCTCTTTTTCAGCATCAGGCACTAGAGCGCAGAAAAGGAGAGGTAGCCGGGCTTGCGGCTATCTCTTCTTTTCTGCGCTCTCCCAACCTCTCCTTATCCTATCTGCCCTTTCCCCCTAACTCTTCACCCCAAGTCACATCTCACGTACACCACGCTCCCCATCTTCATCAGATCAGGCCAAACCTTATCTTCTATTCAAATCGCAAAGCAAACTTCTAACACTTCTCTGCGCTTTGGCCTCTAAGGTTAGAAACGCAGAGCTCAGTGGACTGGCTATTCTGATTACATTTTCACCATGATTTAACTAAAAGGATTTTTAGGAAAGCTCTCCAGATAGACTAAAGATGAAAACCCATGCGATTATTCAGAGAATGAGGTTTGGATCCAATCGCCGCACCAGCCATGTACACCAGAAACTCAATGGACGGTTGAGTACAAACGCATACGCCAAATTTGAATAATTGCGGAGCTATCTCGATGGGTTACTACTTTGATTGCCGTTTCAAGCCACGAGACTTTTGTCGAAGATTTGCCGCGTGCGTGTTCGTGACTGTCGGAACTCGACACTTCCCCCACCCGTCACTGTGTAGGTACCGAATTCATGACTCAAGGGAAGTAGGGTTGAAAACACTGGACGCCGTTCCTTTTATACTCCGGGTAACTTTTATCCCCGAACTCCCACGTCCGCTGAGCCGTACGTGGCAAATCTTTTTTAGTTGTCCCGTGGTTTCAAACTGCAACTTCCATACCCTACCCGGCTTCCTTCTAATCGATAGGGCCCCGTTTTTCGTTGCCCGCTTTTCTTTCTGCTGTCTCTCGATTGTTTCTTCTACTTTTTTTGTTTTCATGTAGAGTGATAGATGTATTAGAGGTAATATAAGGCGTCCTTCTGGAACAGTAAATGGGTCAGATCGTTACGTGGTCCTTCCTGCAGCTATTTTCACCAAGAAACAATATTGAAGGACCGGATTTTACTCCCATTGACCTAGATAGCTCGACTATATGTAGTTGGCTGAGGACGCCAAAATTTTTTGAAGTACCCTAAAATTCCATAGATAAGAGCGGGTGAGCCTACCGGTGAAAAATGAATTGGAAAAAATCGAAATTGAATGCAGTCACTCCTCTAACTTGATGGATGGATAAATTAAACTCCGAAGAAGAAGTTAAGAAGAAGCTCCGCCCCTCAACTCTAAACCCCGCCCACTTAATAAACAATTCATATAGAAAACCGCTATTTTTATATGAATTATTTATTAAGTGGGCGGGGTTTGGAGTTAAGGGGCGGAGCTTCTTCTTAACTTCTTCTTCGAAGTTTAATTTATCCGTCCATCAAGTTAGAGGGGTGACTGCATTCAATTTCGATTTTTTTCCAATTCATTTTTCACCGGTAGGCTCACCCGCTCTTATCTATGGAATTTTAGGGTAGTTATTCATAAGGTCGAAATAAGCTCGAAGTGATTGTAATCTATAACTCATCCGTTCGTGGTAGGGGATGGATCTGATCAGTAATAAGCCGAAATTACTTTGGAACAATCTTCATCAACCTATTGCAATACCAAAGGTTTTGTTGAGAGGGAAAGGCTAGCAGAAAATGAAGCACATCACTGAATTCACGTATTTCTAAATTTCTAGCGCAAGAGCTTTTACTAAGAGAGGAGCAAAGCCAAATCTTGGCAGGTGGGCTCAATTATTTTACTGTCCCAGTATGTCAATATAGAAGTGCATTCGAATAAAAAAAAAACATGAAGGACAGTTTGGATATGCCTATTTCCAAAAGATGCCGTCGACTGCAATGTACACGGTGCAGTCAGAAGTAACAAAAATTGGTACGCCTTTCAGCAAATGTGGTTAGCCCACTCGGGAGAACCTCATTGTCATTGAAATATGTGATAGGAGGGAAGGAAGGAAAGAAGGGTAAAAGTGTTCCGAACAAGGACCTAATGATCATATGAAAGGGATAAAAAACCCACAAACATACCCAACGTTCTGAAAACATCGTACCGACGTCTTGGTTGCGCCTTCCACACCCGAGCTTCCTCCCTTCGACCTCGGCCTTCCAGTCCTGCAATCCGGACTTACATATGGGCACAGAACCGAGTTGAAGACCATACTTTCCTTAAGGCTCTTATTGGGAGAATGAGCCGTCCTTACACTGACATCCTACGCTGTTTTATACTGCCGGAATTTTGATCTCCGTCCAAAAGATGCACAGAAAGTCGGACTAACCTTCATTCCAGTGGATTCCGCAGCGGTTTTTCCTGGCTCGGGCTTCTTCTTCAGCTCTAATTCTACTTTAGAGAACATTCTACCAGGGTTGCACTAGATACGAATGAAAATCTCCCAGATGTTTGCTTTCATTCCGATATCTTTCCCGTCTCTCTTCCAACATTTACACGTTCCGTCCGCACTCGCCAATCCCTGATTGGTCTTTCTTTTCGATCCGCCCACTTTTCTCATGACAAGTGTGGGAGAATGCGCTTACTGCCTGCACTCTCCACACACTTCATCATGCTCTCGCCATGCACAGTTCGAAAGGCTTTCACCCTTCACAGGATTCTTGCATGGATCAATTTTTTATTGATCTGTTATCAAACTGAACTCTACTAATTCATGAGCCGTTGAGGAAAGATTTCAAGCCAGGTATGGAACCTACCCAATGGGAATTGGCTGTTAGTGCATCTCCGCGAAGTTGGGTAGAGAGGAACTGATGGTAACGAGCTATGCTATTGAAATTCCCTTCATTCCTTATCACCCGATGGAAAGGTTCCGCGATCAGCAGGCATAGGTGCAGTGATCCTTGAGTTAGAGGTGTTGGTGGTGGATGCTGTGATGGAAGTAGGAGAGAATCCACCATCTTCCCTTCGAAATCGGGTGGTGGACTGGTTTTACGATGTAGTTAATTTGCAAGGGTGTGGTAGTTGAGAGTCAAGGTGTCTGCTTATGCGGCGCCTACCACAGCAACAGCTAGCATAGGATTGGCAACAACGTAAGCCTTAGCTTGACATAGTTTGAAGTCCTCGCGTAGGAGGTGTAAGGACGTTTCTCTGGGGACTATTAAGTACAAAAAGTGTTTCGTAACCCTTAAACATTGTGTTGAGGATGCACTTCAACAAAAAAGACTCTCAACTAATTTCCATTGGGACAATTTTTCAATTTGGGCAGGTTTCGAGCTCGAAATACTAGAAAAATACAGACAATCCTTTATCCATCACTCAGGACGTGAGAGCGGCCCTAAACATGAAGGAATTGACATAAACGCTAGTTCTTCGTTGCAAGCACTTTGTATGTTTCTATGTGAGAGTTTGTGGAATGATGGAAGATGTTCGTGGAATCCGGAATTATTCCAATTGGCAGTCCACTGGACTCAACTGCTTATGTCCACAAAACCTAACTGCTTAATTCAGTAATCAAAAAACATCATCGATACTTCAGCAATAGTCTGTGACTTGATAAGGGATTAAGAGACATGGAGGACAAAGGCGATCATGCCCTACATGTCTTTTCTTCTGTTTTTTCTCATCAAGGAGTTCCCCGTCGAATGGCAAAGACTTCTCGAGGTTGACTGTCAAAAATGGAGCGCCAGAATGACGAGCGAATGTGCTGGGATGATGCGTTGAAGTTACAACTCGCAATCTCATGAAACCAGTGCGAAGGAGTTATTAGGTTGGCAAATGAGTCCTGCGACAAAATGGAGACCTTTTTTCAACCATTTCTAAATTTTTTCATATTAATCAATTTTCGAAAAAATTTTTACCAAAGAAGTCAACAACCTTTTATCCTTTGAGCCAATCACTGATGCCATC